TAAGCTGGACCACTAGAACAACAAATGTGGAAGTACTGACCAGAATGTGAACACCCGTACCCACTTAATCAACACAACAAAAATAAGGAAAACCGCTTACCTGGGGCATATAATGAGACACGAATATATAATGAGACACGAAGAATACGAACAGCTTCAGCTTCAAGGTAAAATCGAGGGAAAGCGCGGCATAGGAAGGAAGAAGAAATCGTGGCTTCGAAATATACGAGATTGGACAAATATTTCAAACGGGAATACTTTAATACATCGTTCCCAACATAGGGAAGATTTTGCCATAGTGGTCGCCAACCTCAACGGAGATGAACCTAGGAGGAGGAGGATATAGGATTGAAAATGTTGATTTTTCATCTAAAAACTACATATTTTCTGCCATTTTTTATAAATAACCTGGCGTTTTATCGCAAAACTCATATAAAGCAAAAATGAAGCTTTTGGAATAACTCAACGATTCATTTTTTGTTGATTACCGTAGGTGTAATAATAGCCGAGTTATCAATGTAAGTCGTTTTTAAAGTGCTTGAGGACATTTTAAATGCTTTTTTAAAAAAGTTTGTGGCTCAAAAACTCTCGAGTTATGATAAAAATAAAATGGTCTCCTCATTTTTTCGGAAAAAAATTTACAACAAAAACGGTCATATTCATTTTCTTCGAAAAATGTGATTATTTTATTGTAAAAGGTTGCAATTTAGTTTTCGAAAAATAAAAAATCACCTTTACAAAGTGATAATTCGGTTATTATTACACCTACGGTAATCAAAAAATGAAGCGTTTAGTTATTCCAACAGCTTCATTTTTGCTTTATATGAGTTTTGCGATAAAACGCAATGTTTTCGTGTTATTTATAAAAAATGGCAGAAAAATATGCAGTTTTTAAATGAAAAATCAACATTTTCAATCCTAAATAACTCTGATAAAATGTTATAGAACATTTTTTGCTTAGAATTCATCCCTTTGTTGATTTTTGCAATTAAAATGGGTGATTTATTTTTCACCACCGAGAAGGCGTGGGACTCACCCCCAGGGTGAAAGCACACATCGCTGCTATGTAACTTTTGTTTCTTATAATATATCCAGGGGCGGATACAGGAATTTATTTTAGAGGGGGCCCAAATCAAAAATAATGTGAAATATGCCTTGTAGGGCGTCATTTTTAACCCAAAAGGCTAATATTTAACCAAACTTACAGATTTTAGGGGGGGCCGGGCCCCATGGGCCCCCCTCTCTATCCGCCACTGAATATATCTCTATTCACTGTTAAAATTTCACGTCAATCGGTGCGGGTGTCAAGAATTCGGAGGTAATACCACAGATTAGGTATACTATATATATACAGATAAAAATCTTATCCATTAATTAATAATTCGTGGTACGAAAATTGTTTTTTATGACGATGAGCAAACGAGTGAATTCCTGTGCGCAAAAATAAACTTGCGTAAAATAACAATAAACAACGTAATAGAGAGATATCGGTAAACCGAATAGCGTGCATGGACGTTAATAACGCCAGATGTTATTTCCTTTGCGTGAGGTGGTATTAACTCTCTTCATTTATAGTTATCGGATCGGAAAGAATTCTGTTCGGGTCTCGTCCGCTATTTAAACTTAACCTAACTTTGAATTTAAAACTTTGAAATTGTTTTGTTTACTAGGTATTTTAAAACTAAAGGGCTAAAGTTCTTATTTCCAATGCTTTATTGTTCAACGTCTGCCAGTGGGTTTAGGGCAACAAGCAACAAATTCTCTTAGAAGGGCTAAGTCGTCATCTACTGTAAACCTAAGCTTCTTTATAGGTTCTTTAATATTGGAAGAGGTGGAATCCATATTTTGGGGCATATTTATTTAATTAAAAAACGCTTGGTGTAATTGATCCGCAAATTACGTCAGGCGGTAACGTTATTAGCAGGCGTTGCGTTAAAAATTGACTCACACATATCGTAACTGTCAAAATAAGGTACGCGTAAATACTGCATGACGCCTATTCGGTTTACCGATGTCTCTCTTATAACTAGTGCCCGATTCCGAAAATTGGAACCACGAAAAACAATAAAGAAAAAACAAAGTTTATAATCTGTATAATCTGTGGTAATACCCTATTTTTATCCTCGCCTAATGGCCTATTATTTTTTTATCCTTTTCAATTTTATATGTTTTTAAATTTGAAATTAAACCTGTGTTATTTTATATAGAAAATTATATGGTGAATGTCATTGGCCGTTATTTCCTAGCCAACTTGACACCTTTTTTATCATTCAGTGTACTTATTTATGACAGTAAACTTTTAATTTTCAGAATGAATTTGTATGACGACAATCATCCACTAGGAAGTGTTCCAAATGAAATGGATAACATACTTAATACCATATTATGGATTGATGAGCATTTAAAGTTTAATAACTAAAATAACTGCCTTAATTACTTACTAGTTTAATTAAACTGGTAATAGTTAATTCTCATATTTTTTCTATCGTGTTACATAAAATTAATATAAGTACATACTTAATATATTGTTTAGGTTTGGTTTGATTTAAAATTATTTCTTTAATTGTACCTAATTGTAAGGGGATTATTTTTGTTAACTTAAGAATGCTAAAAATTTGTTTAGTTTTTATATAACAGAAAATGTTTTCTTTTTGTTTTTCCCTAACAGCGAAATTTCCCTAACATATCAAACTAGATTTTTATACTATACAGGATGTCCCTGGATCGTCTTTGGAAGAGGAAAATTTTTTTATTATTAATTATTTGATGAAAATGCATTCGTCATACAAGTTTTTGCTTGTTTTAAAATTATTAATCCCGTTTATACTTTTTCAAATTTTCATACCGTTTTAAAGAAAAATTTAAATATATCTCAAAAATCAAGACGTGTTTCTTTGAAAATATCAATCTGTTGCGTGTGTGTAGGTATGCATTTTTCTCAAAAACTTGTCAAAAAGTTTTTCCATACGTAAAGACGATCCGGGGACATACCGTAGACTGGACAAGGTTATTAAAAGATAAGGTTGTCTCGTAACTCGATCCGCCATTATCTAAAACGTCATCTACTACGTCATAGGAATGATACCATTCATAGATAAAGGGACAAAAACTGCCCACAGTGCATGTCCGAATCGATGTTCATTGTGTACTTTATTGTTTATAGTGTATGGCGTGAATAGTTTTCAGTTGTTTGATGTGTGTTTTCTTTATTATATTGTCCATTTATCTCTCTTTGTCGGTTGCATTTTATTTTTTATTCTTTTTATACAGGGTGGTCCGAATTGTATTCCGGAAACTTCGGCAGCATATTCTGCAGATGAAAATAAGCAAAAAAGTTCGTATAAATGTATGCCTTTAAATGCTTAGTTTCGGAGATACAGGGTGTAGAAGTTTCATTTTTATTTCGGTTTTTTCCAAATAATTTCTGAAGTATTGTCAATATTTGGATGAAAATTGATGTCTGGGAGTTTTCTGATATGAGAAATTTGATTTTGATGTCAATATGACTCCGACTTGTAGAGGGCGCCACCTACATATTTTTAACTGGTTTGAAGAGTAATAACTTTTCGTCCGTACCTGTATTAAACAACTGAGTATAAAAATATGTATTCACAACGTTTTTTACGTAAAAAATGTCTCATAATAAAAATCGCTACGAGTAATGATTCTCGAGATATTTGGAATCGAAATTATCAAAACCTGTCATCTTTCACATAAATTAAGCATATTGACTAAATAGTTATTAGGCTGAAATCATAAATTTGAAATGTTTTTGTGCTAAAAGTTCTTTATCATGAAAAAAAATAAAAAGTTCCCAAAATTATAATTTCAGTCAAATAACTATCTAGTCAACATGCTTATTTTTTGTCAATAATGGTATGTATTGACTATTTCCATTCTAAATATCTTGAAAACGGTTGTTCGTTGCGACTTTTACCAAGAGGCATGTTTTACGTAAAAAATCATGAAAATGTATATTTTTTCACTCAGTAGTTTTATACAGGTACGGACGAAAAGTTATTACTCTCCAAAACAGTTAAAACACATTTAGGTGGCGCCCTCTACAAATAGGAGTCATATTGACATCAAAATCAAATTTCTCATGTCAAAAAACTACCAGACACCAATTTTCATCCAAGTATTGATGTTGCTTCAGAAATTATTTGGAAAAAATTGAAATAAAAATGAAACTTCTACACCCTGTATCTTCGAAATTATGCATTTTAGGACATACATTTATACAAACTTTTTTATTTATTTTTATCTGCAGAATATGCTGCCGAAGTTTCCGGAATACAGTTTGGACCACCCTGTATATGATTTTATACGTTCTGTCTACGTCAGAGGGATATGCTATTCCGCTTCGCTCCTATTGGTCCAAAAGTTACGAGACAGCCTTATCTTCTAATATTCTTGTAGACTGGATACATTTTTTGTAATAAAAACTACAATGGCGGCAAAAAATGTTTTGATTGGCTATTTTAACAGGAAATCTACTTATCCAAAGAAATATTGTTACTTTTTACATAAGTTTTACATTTTTTAAGTTGACAAAATAAATAATTTGTCATAAATCACTGTATTTTTTTTTCATTTTCCCCCAAATTTAGAAATAGAAGTGCCTATATAAAAATACAATACTCATCTTAATCTTATTACTTTTTCAGAACCGCTTCCTATTGAAAATTTTCAGAAAAATGATAATTTTGAAAATATAAATAAAAAACTAAAGTAGGAACTTTTGTTTAACGACAAATTATTTAGATAACTTAATAAATCTTTATTATTAATATTTACTTTTACATAACAGTCTTTTAAATTATCGAAATATACATAGAATACAGAAGCGTAAAAAAGTGTCTTAAATTATCTTTCCAAGGAAATTTTTAATATTTGTATTTACTGGTTGACTAACCTACTGGACCTGATACCTAGATTTAATCTTTAATCCATATCTCTGTCCATATTTAACCTCAATTTTATTTTATTTTTATGTTTATAATGCAGACAAAAATAAAAATAATTAAAATTTCTAATTTCCATAAATATATAGGTGGACAGTTAAAAAAATTAGAGACGAGACTTAAATTTAGATGATGATATGCAAAAGATTCGTTTCACAATTTTATTTTAGTATTTTTTTAATATTAAGCAATCTTTAAATATTTGAACAATAAATAAAGGCAATTTATGTGTAAAAATATTTGCAAACCCTACAGATACAATCGTGTTGCATTTTACAACAAAGCTTCTTTTAATTAAGTAGGTATATATTCCTATCGAAGAATAGTGTATGATATACAATGAGTTTTGAGGTAAGATTATTTTATTTTTTAAAGAATTTTTTTGTTTAATGAGACTATTTTTTGTAGATTGATAAATTAGTAAAAACATATAAATCTTTATCCAGAGTATCTGCTTTAACTACTGGACAAATTCAATCTCAAAATATAATTAGTACAACTTGGTCTCAAAGGAATATTGAAAAAGGAAAGACTGCTAGGTTTAGCTCTACAATTTTGCTTAACAATAATTTTGAAAAAATTGGGGAAATTTCACCTTTTGATATTACTACAGAGTAAGTGCCTAATTATATTCTGCATTTTGCTAACTTTATTAAATTTGTGTAGAGAAAGAGATTTGTGAGAAAGTGATAAAAAAATAATAAATGCCAGTTTTCAGATATGGTGTGAACTTAATAAAATAAAACATATTTGAATGGAGTCTTGGTAAATTACTTGTCTTTTATTTTAATGTATAGAGTGATAAACATTGACTAGGTATTCCTAAATGAATAAGCGCGAAAAGATTTAGGAACTTATTCTTTTTATAAAATAAAGGTGGCTACGCACACTACTGCAAGCTTGACAAGCATGTATAAACAATCTTTTTTTACAAGCAAACTGTAGCGTCTGTAGGGAAAATTTGCGCAAGAATTTTAATTGTGCAAGCCGCTTGATCGATTGAATTTGAATCATGCAAGCTTGGACAAGTCATGCTTGCGCAAGCGAAAAGGTACGTGTGTACCACATGTATTCAGCTTGTACAAACAATTAGTTCAGTCCGTGATCGTAAATGACCTGTACGTCGCGTCGCTATCATGTCTAGCGATCTGAAGAGGAGCAATCGAGGATTATTGAAAGATTTTATTCGCGCATGCGAAAATCAGCCGTGTCTTTGGCGAATTAAATCACCAGAATATCATGATAGGGTGAAGAAGGATGCAGCATACAAAATTTTACTTAATAAGTATAGATTAATTGACAGCCAAGCCGATAAGGATGCCGTTATTAAAAAGATAAATGTCTTCAGTATTACTTTTACTTTTTCGCGGACTTCCTTCTTCTTTTTCTTCGGACATCCTTCTTCTTTTTCGCGGCATAAACTGAAGCTTGCTCAAGCATGCATGTACCGTATGGCGGCGAAGGTAAATTATGCATGCTTGTACAAAAAGATTGTTCATACATGCTTGTCAAGCTTGCAGTAGTGTGTGTAGCCACCTTAAGACAGGTGTTTGGTATAACTTTTTTATTGCGAGTTTTCCCTATAAAGCTACTACCGTATGATCTGTGGTATGATTGAAAAAAAACGGCGTCAGCAATGGCTATGAGATGAAGATCGGCGCTGTCATTTTATATGGGAAATGTCATCGATCGTCATTTCCCAGCCAACTGGGCGCCGTTTTTTTTATCATACAGAACTTGATTTTACAATATTGTGCGATATATTATCTTTTTACAATTTGAAAAAATGTGCTGACCGATACAGTACTAATATACAGGGTGTTCCATTTAAGATAAATAGTTTATACATGGTTCTGCAACAGTGCGTCGGGGCATCTGCAGCTCCTATAATAAAATACTTAGAAATTAGTATAGAATGTAGTAGGATGTATTCAGGAAAATATTTTAACTTGCACAGAGTGGCTCAAAAAAGTGAGTGAATTTTAATGATTTTTTTAAATGGTACGCCCTGGATATTATTGCATTTTTGGATTCCTTTCTGATCACTTTATATAATCCTAAGATATTATTAAATAATGTTTTCATAATTTCAGAGGTATTACTAAGTAAATAAAAATATATACAGGATGGCCCATTAGTGCGAGGAAGTCTAATATCCTCGTCGTTGTCGAAGATATGAAAAAAAGTTTTATACAGATGTTGCATGGTTGGGTTATATAAGTTGTGCTGTTGTATACAGGATGCCCCAAAAAAATTATGATAAAATTTTAAGTTTTTTTTTAAATTGCACCCCTCATTTTTCTGTAGACAATTGAATTCAGTATAAATTCTGCCTAATAGAATACTATTTTTATTTGAAGCACTGTTCGGTGTTGCCATTTTATTTCTTATACACTATATCCGAAAAGCGGTTAAAAACTGAAGTGAATTTAACTTTTGGTGTATTGTGGTGAATTAGCGGAGTAGATTTTGCTTAAGTTTTCATATGTCTATTTTTTAATTGTGTTTTAATTATACGTTTTTTACTAAAAAAATAGAGAACAACGGCATACGGTCGAGTCGGCCTACAAACACGTAAACGTTTACGTACGCATGCGCATTTCTTATATTTTTTATTTTTTATACACGTAAAAGATTCTTTACGTCTACGTCTACGTGCCAGCAGCGGCCGACTCGATCGTATGCCGTTGTTCTCTATTGTCATGTCTGAAATCAGACACGATTGTGGTGAATTAGCGGAGTAGATTTTGCTTAAGTTTTCATATGTCTATTTTTTAATTGTGTTTTAATTATACGTTTTTTACTAAAAAAATAGAGAACAACGGCATACGGTCGAGTCGGCCTACAAACACGTAAACGTTTACGTACGCATGCGCAGTTCTTATATTTTTTATTTTTTATACACGTAAAAGATTCTTTACGTCTACGTCTACGTGCCAGCAGCGGCCGACTCGATCGTATGCCGTTGTTCTCTATTGTCATGCTTATGCCGTTGTTCTCTAATTCTCATTTTTTTTTATTCCAGGTCACTTTCACAGATTGCTAAATCGGGTAACCTTAAAGCTGTTATTCGAGAAAATGATTCTAAACAGTATTTAGAGATATGGCAAAGCAATTCGCTAATACGAGTAGTAGATTTGACGTCGTTAGATATGCATGGATCTGTCTATACAGACGGTATTTAAAATAAGCTAAATATGCAATTTTATATAAATTATTAACTGTTTTTATAGCGGAGTTTAGAGCATTCGAATTTTCTCCGGACGAAAAAAAGTTGATATACGTTGCTGAAAAGAAGAATCCAAAAAGCGAACCTTTTTACAAAAGAAAGAAATCTGATGGAAATGGGGATAATAATGATGGAGGTACTGCAAAGCCTACTACAAAGGTAATAATTGAGTAAGACCAAAGAAGGTAATCCAACAAAATTACGAGACAAAATCCTAGTTTATTATTAAAATTGTTTTAATAGTTTCAGAGAACAAAGTAATAAAACAGAGAGTAACAGAGAATAAAAAATATATTTTGCATCATCTTATCAATAAATAATTTAAAATATCAATTGACGTCTTGAATTCAAAACAACGCTCGGTGTACCTATACTACAGTTGGTTTGTTCTATAGGGTGGTCCGAAGAACAAAGTAATAAAACAGAGAGTAACAGAGAATAAAAAATATATTTTGCATCATCTCATCAATAAATAATTTAAAATATCAATTGACATCTTGAATTCAAAACAACGCTCGGTGTACCTATACTACAGTTGGTTTGTTCTATAGGGTGGTCCGAAATGTATTTGGGAAAGTTCGGCAGCATATTCTGCCGATAAAAATAAGTAAAATAATTTCTAAACTAATGGAGATATTTGGATAAAACCTGATAAAATCGGTTTTTTGACATGATAAAATTCATTTTGATGTCAGCATGCCTGCTACTTGTACGGGGCGCCACTTACATGTTTTGTAACTGCTTTGAAGGGTTATAACTTTTTTCCCGTACCTGTTTAAAAAAAATTCTCCTGCTAAAAATCGCTATGAGCAACCATTCTCAAGATATTTGGAATGGAAATTATCAATACATGTCATTGACAAGACAGTTATTTGACTGAAATAATAAATTTGGGAACTTTTTTATTTTTTAAATTAATTATTAATTTTTCTACAAAAAATTATGTTAATATAGTTTCCGTTGAACCTTTGACACAAAAACATTTCCAAATTTAGTATTTCAGTCAAATAACTAATTAGTCAACATGTTTACTTTTTGTCATTAATGACATGTATTGATTATTTCGATTCCGAATATCTTGAGAACTACTATTAGTACCAATTTTTACCAAGCGACCTTTTTTACGTAAAAAGCATTGGAAATATACAGGGTGAATCTTAAATAAGTGCAAATATTTTCAGAGCTGGTAGATCTCGATAAAAAAACATATTTTCTCTTTACCATTTTTCAGATAAGTCAAAATATCCGAATTATTTAAGTTTGAAAATTAAAAAAAAATTGATTTTTTTGAAAAAATTTGAGATTGGAAATTTTGATTCCGGATTTTTTCTGTATTTACATCTCTTTTATTGCCGTAACCATAGAGTAAAGCCGTGACTATGGTAATATCCAATGACTAAACAATACAAAAAATGAGGAGGTGCTCAGGAGGAAGGGAAAGATAAAGAGCTCCTATCAACAGCGAAGGAAAGGAAGTTACAGTACGTCGGTCACATCATGAGGGGTGATCGATACGAGGTGCTCAGACTGGTCATCAAAGGCAAAATTGAGGGCAGGAGATCGATCGATCGATGATTACAGGCACCACGCGTTCTAGCAACATCTCGAGGTGGACGACGACGCACAGTGGTGTGAAACTGATAATATAACGAAAAAACCCTATATTTCCTAAACCGTTAATCCAATCGCATTGGGACGAATTTTATTCGATTCAGCTTAATAAAATACATCAAATAACATAGTTTAATAAATTTATTTAAAAGTAAACTGAGCACCAATTGAAACGTAAAGTGAAAATTTTTGCATCAAGTTGAACTTCTTGTATTTTCTAAACTATTGAAGGCATTTTGAATTGCTAGCCAGATTCTGAAACGCTTTTTTATCGACTGTCGAACCGTTCTTTGCAGTTTATTTAATTATTGGCCAATACCCATAATACAGGGTAAAACAAAAATGCGTGCATTTTTTACAAAATTTTAAGTGACCTTCATTTTGTGGGGTGATGGAGGATTTCCATTATTTGTGGGTATTTTAAAAGAGCTGTTTTATACCTCGGGACGTTTTTGAGGTTTTTTGGGGTATCGCTCTCCATTGCGATGTTTTCCTTTTTTTTATGATTTTCGGTAAGGTTTTAATTCTAATAAATTTATCTCATTATGGAATTAATATATTGTATTTTTGAGTATTATGCGTATTAACTAATGATTATACTACGTTAAATGCTTCTTTTGTTATGCCAAGATACATGATAAAACCTGTTCATATAATTTAAATATACCAGCTAGATAAATTTTTAACGCCCTGTATAACTGTAACACTTTTTAGTTTTATAAAATTATTTGTTTGCTTTATTTAATTGTACATTAAAATGTATAATGCTTAAAGATACGATATCTTCATTTCACAATGAGATAAAATTATTAGTATTAAAACTCTACCGACAATCATAAGAATATCGAAAACATCGCAATGGAGAGCGATAGCCAAAAAAACTCATAAACGTCCGGAGGTATAAAACACCTCCTTCAAACTACCCACAAAAAATGGATTTCCTCCATCCCCCCACAAAATCAGGCTCACTTAAAATTTTGTTAAAAATGCGCGAATTTTTGTTTTACCCTGTATTATGGGTCCTGACCAATAATTGAAAAAAACTGCAAAGAACGGTTCGATAGTCGATAAAACAATGTTTTAGAATCTGGCTGGCAAATTCAAAATTCCTTCAAAAGTTTAAAAAATAGAAGAAGTTATAATAAGAAAATATTACAGCCTACTTCCTTAACACATTTTCTTAATATTTCATATTGATATTTTGTTAAAAATGCGTCAAGAATTAAACACAAGGCTTTTTTAGAGTCAATATACCTCATAGGATCAGATTGTTTTTCTTTTTTTATTTGTTCTGCTGCTGCGATTATCAATTCATCCGAAAAATCCTCTCGAAGTTTTTTTATTTTATTTTGCTTACTTCTTTTACACAAATCTTTAAAAGGTTTCTCTGGGCGACCTCCGACAGACTTAAGGGATGACTCGTTTTCGGATTCATGATCAGATTCAGGAAAATTAACAAAAACTCGCCCTGCAACCGCTCACTATACTTCCGAAAAAAAATTCGTTTCACATGATGCACTTCTCTCAATTTTTTGGCAAAGTTGGGTTCAAATCTTTTTTTTATGGCTCCAGTTACCAGCAACAACCGCTCTCCTTGTAATTCTGGATACTGTTCCCTTAAACCTTGCTCTAAAGGGTACTCGCGGTTAAAGAGTAACTCGCACACAACACTGTATGGTATCACAAATTGCGACATATTTATTATCCAGCTAATAAGACAAATCCAACAACAATACTGATAAAGTTTCATATCAAAATTTATCTAAAATCGGTTTTCGGCATCCGCAAAAATGAAGAAAGTAGTTTTAATTTTTTTTCACACTGTTTATCTTTTATTTTAAATTTTTAACAAACTTGGCCGAATCTGGCGATAAAATTTATAGAATCACTACTTTAACAGTTGCTTTTTTTAGTCAAATTAATCCGAGACCAAAGCTCGGTAAAGCTTTTTTTTTCTAGTCTGATTAAAGTAAGAAGTAAAGTAATTTTATTAGAAATAGATTCAAACTAAACTGCACCAAAGGCACGGTATATTTTGGCAAAATGATTTTTACTTTTAATGCCCATGGATAAACCAAACAGTTCCTGGGTAATACCGATTTTTAGGAATTAAAAGAAGGGCTGTAAAATATTACTTGTTTTCGCTTTATTTTTGCGCGTTTCGTATATTAAGAAAATTGTCAAAAAGGAGGTGCTGTAAATTCAAAACTAGTAATTAAATTAAAAAAATAATATTATATTGTCTTTGAACTAACTCGATGTAAGATGGGATAATTTAAACCCGATTTAACACCCTCTTTTTTGGGTTTTTTTCCATTGCCGAAACCACTGTGCGACGCCGCTCTTCACCCTGGACCAGGAGGACTTCACGATAGCGCCGAGCTCCGAGCAGAGCGCCATTATCCTGATGGAGGAGGCCGGATCCGGAGGAGCTCCGGAGCACAGCGGCCAGTGTTGCACCGGAGCCACCCTCATGTGTGACGCGGATCGATTCTTCCAGGCAAGGGACGGCTTGGACGGCAACCAGTCGGCCGGGAATGGCCGGGAAACGGTTGATCAGATGCCTCAAACACCCAAGTCGCCCTAGCGTTGAGTTCCACAACGAACAAGAATTGCTTTTCGCAGACAAATCCGCCAGTTTATTTGTGACGTTTCGTTGAATTCTCATTAATTTCCGCGCGGAATTCGGTGCGCAAAATCTCCCGCTATGTCAGATTGATGCTGCCTGACCTCACGCCTAATTAAATTTAACATCAACCTCACATTTTTTAGAGATTGTAAACTGGTAGCCTCAATCTGCATCGCGCGAGACATGACATAGCTGCTCAAATAAATGTATATATGTATACTTTAGGTTGATCACCGGTGCCAATTGGGCCGAGCGATTCTGTATTTGAGGGACCATTCGATCGTCGTCGACACAGGCGTTTCGAGTGACTCGTCCTCAAATTCGGCGTCGCAGTAACTCGGTGAATTTTTTAGTCTACTGCGCCCAAATCTAACCCCCTACGACATAAAAGTTCGTCTTATTTTTCGGCGTTTTAAGCGGTCTTTCAAAAAGACCGCGCTATTATAGAATCACGACGGTCTAGAATTACGTAATTTTTCGATAAAGTACTACAAGTGACCTTAAAGTTTACGAATGAAAAGACTTTTTTGCCTGATGTTTTACGGCTACGTTTTTAATAGTTTTGACGTTGTATATATACATGATCTAGTCGAAGAATATCAATTGAAATTTTCAGAGGTGCGGTTTCACGCACCATCATAGCCAGTTGGATCGCCAACCTCCGAAGGGAAACAGCGGCCTAAAAAGAAGAAAGAATACAAGGACATAACACCCAAGACCAAATTGTTACCATGGCTCCAAACAGTGCCGTGGCCTATATTTTTCTTAACATAGCTGCTTGAATGGATATTTATATTTTTGATAAATGTTTTGACTACGCCTATGGTGTAGACGGTGGTATCATACTAATTAATTAGGAAAAAAACGTATTAAAATGTTAACAAAAAGTATAAAACTAGTATCGACGTATAGCACATATCAAGAACATATGGTATCAGAACAATAATTACCAAATTCAATAAGAAAACGCTAAAAGGGTGGAGTTTATTTACTTATGAAACGCAACTTCTGCTCCTTATCTTTGCGGATTTTACACTTGAAAGCTGAACACGTCACCATTGTAATAAAGTTTATACAAAATTCACTACATACAGTACATTATTAAAAATCGCTAAAATTGTCGCTGTTGACGAGATGGTGACTCATCCGTAGTCTCCAAAATGATGGCGTCTAACGTAACAAATTCTGCTGCAGCCCGTATATGGGCGTTACATGATTCTTTAGTCGTTGGTAATATCAAAGATTAAGAAATTATACCGTGGGAAAACATTTGCGGTGAACAGGCAGTTCTAAAAAGTTTTCGAAAGATATACAGGGAAATTTAAATGAAAATGCATGATTTTCAACATTTTTTTAGTGAAAAAAACCTCATAGACGTGTTCCTAGAGTCGAAATATACCACCCATGAAAATATTTGCACTTATTTAAGACTCACCCTGTATATTTTTTCACTCAGTAGTATACTACAGGTACAGAAATTATTTGAGAAAATCAAAATAAAAATAAAAATTTCTACACCCTGTATCTCCGAAGCGAAGCATTTTAGAACATTCATACGAATTTTTTAATTATTTTTATCGGCAGAATATTCTGCCATAGTTTCCCGAATACAATTTGGAACACCTTGTATAGTACAGCATACTTAAAATTTAATGTCAAAATTGTTAAAATTTAAAGTAATTTTTCTTGTTCTTTTTTCAATGTGTTATTTTTCTATTAAATGCAAAATAAAAAAAGTGTGTGCACTATGTGCGCATATTTGAAGTGAAACTTCTTACTAACAGCTATTAAATTGAAGGATCTGAAGGACGTTTGAAAAAGTGCAGTTTTAAATGTGCAGAAAGGCAGAAAGTAATAAATTAAAAAATAATAAATAATTTGATTCACTTTCACAAAATTTGTATTAAAATGACCATCTGTCCGTTTGAGAACTCCATTCGGGTAATTCATAATCTAAGGGTAATTCTATCCACGTGCCGAGTTTGATTCCAATCGACCCATAATTAAGAAAAGAGATCGGTTCGAAACGTCAAGGGCATCATTCTGTAGCCCGTCAGTGTGGCACTTAAATTTTATATATATTTACCTTTGAATAAAGGAAGGAGCATATCAAAAATCTTAGGTCCACCGCGATGGGCCTCAAATATGGCCGACTTAAATTCTGGTTTATAAGTGCCGTTCTAATTTTATTTAAAAAATGTAAAACTATGATGTAGGGTAGACGTCTACCCCACGTCTACCCTCTACTCAATATTATTTTTTATTTTACGTTGTGAATAAATGTTGGTAGTTATTAAAATTGTTATAAAAATAAAAAATTCTAATAAAAATAGATAAGTTATAATAATTATTTATAACCATAAACATCCGATACGCTACTGAAGCAGGTAAGTCAAATTGACGTGTCTAAATTCTTTCTATCTATCTAATCTAATCTTTGACAAGTAGTAAATAAAAGCAAAAATGCAAGAAAAAATATATAATTAGTTAATTTAAGTGAATTCCATAAATGATCGGTTTACTACACGTATGTATATTATATAGTCACTTACTATCGAAAAGTTGTTCCATTATTTCACTCGATTTTTGACGAGATCTACCGCACGTTACACAAACAACTATTTTAGAGTCTTTTTCGATAAATCGCGATAGTGTCACTGTTAATTTAAGTTCTGCCACAATTTCCATCTAGATTTACTACCTTTATACAACTATCAGTAGTAGAATAAATAGTAAATAACATAAAATAAGCTCCGTAAAAACTGACAAATCCACAAAATTTCAAATCAAATTCAAATGTGTCAAATGAATCGTCAATCAGAACTGTGAAGGATCCCCACCCTAGAGTCCTTTTTCCGCCCACCATGCATGAATACATGGATATCATTATGCTCCTTCCGTCTTCCTATTCAAAGATATTTACGAATAATATTTTTTTTGATTAGATAAAAAATAAGAAAATTATTGATAATGTAAATTTTTATATAGGGTGACGAATATTTGTTTGAACAAGACTGGGGAGAACAACTAGTTGGCAAAAAAAGATCTATCGTTGTTCAATATGATATTGAAAAAGACACTGCTCAAATACTTGAAGGAATTCCAGAAAATGTTTGTGTCGCCAAAACAAAATATTCACCAGATGGCTCTTACATAGTCGGAGTAGCTTACTTTACAGAACCAAGGAAATTAGGATTAATTTATTGCTCTAACAGACGGAGTACCATTTTTCAATTGGATTTTGAAGGACATTATTGTAATATACATATAATGGTGCAAGTATACACTCGGCGAGGTGACCCGAGGCAGAGACGAGGCGAGTGTGTACTTGGGGCTCTCGCGTCCTCTCGGGCCCTCTCGCCTCGTACACTGAACGTTTTGTACCATCATTAACATAAAAATTATTACTCTAATTACAAAATTATTGATTAATCTATTTTATCCTCAGTTAAAAACAAAGATTTATTTTTTATAATGTAAAAGTTTGTTTTAATATTATTAGGTAAAATAGCAAATATTTTACGTTTATGCAACATTATGTTGTTTTTTCATTTAATCTATTAATTCTTTTATTAAATTTTTTAATACACCTGACCTCGGCAACATAAAGTCAAAAATACATTTTGTGTTTCGATCCAAGTTATGTCATCATTTTCGACGTCGTATTGGTTTTCATGATTTTTTTTCATAACACCTTTGCATAACACGGACAATAGAGTGACAATCTGTGACGTAACAGCCAAAGAGCAAAAAAACAAAGCGTAGACACAGAACAGAGTGGCGTAGATGAGTACGCGTCTATAAAATACCAGAAATACAATTTAAACAAAACTAATCACAGGTGAATTTATCCTTTTCTGTTTGGAACTGATATATGCAATTTGATTTTGTGGATTTCCCTTTTTTTATTTTCTCGTCTTTCAGGTCGGTTTTATAAATGGGATTTAAGAAAAATTTTTGCCCGCATTTTCCCAAAAGTGTTATTAAATTTATCTCGTTGAGCGCCTGATTGTTTTTATTATTACAAAATTATTCTTCAGAATATATTTATTTATGTAGGTACTGCCAAATTTTATTGCTGGGTTTTTGCGCTATGCCTCGGGGTGCCTCGCTGGACCTCGCATTTTTTGTGACGCCTCGGCGAATGTGTACTTCCAGCATAAAACGTGTTCCGTACGACTAAATATACTTCTATATTTTAGATGAATTAAACTTAAAAGATAATTCAGTTAATTCACCAATTTTTACTCCCGATGGTAATTCATTAGTATGGTTACAGAGGAGAGCCGGAGGACCTCATAAGACTTGTATGGCTTTAGTTAAAACTAGTGTGCCTCTAAATGACAAGGTAATGTTTTAGTTATAGCATAGATTAGGTATCCTATAAGTATACAGATAAAAATCTTGTCCCTAATTCGTGGTACGAAAATTGTTTTTTATGACGATGTGCAAACGAGTAAAATTTCCTGTGCGCAAAAATAAACTCGCGTAAAATAACAATAAACAGCGTAATAGAGAGATATCGCTAAACCAAATAGCGGGCATGGACGTTAATGAGGCAAGGTGTTATTTCCTTTACGTGAGGTGATATTAACTCTCTTCATTTATAGTTTTCGGATCGGAAAGAATTCTGTTCGCGTTGCTTCCGCTATTTAAACTGAACCTAACTTTGAATTTAAAACTTTGAAATTGTTTTGTTTACTAGGTATTTTAAAACTAACGGGCTAAAGTGCTTATTTCCAGTGCTTTATTGTTCAACATCTGCCAGTGGGTTTAGGGCAACAAGCAACAAATTCTCTTAGAAGGGCTAAGTCGTCATCTGCTGTAAACCTAAGCCTCTTTATAGGTTCTTTAACATCGGAAGAGGTGGAATCCATATTTTGAGCCATATTTATTTAATTAAAACTAATCCCAGCTACTTAAATATCAAATTACCTAATAAAACTAAAGTAATAATTCAAAACAATTCAAACATAACCTAAAATAAAAGATCTCGCCGGCCGGCCCCGGTTGTCAAATACCCGCACATGCCCATTTAAGCAATTTTTAAACGTTATTTGGAAATAGCGCTTGGTGTAATTGATCCGCAAATTACGTCAGGCGTTATTAAAAATTGACTCGCGCATATCGGTTTTCCGAGATCTCTCTAATAACTGTGCCGGTCAGGCGCTGTGCACAATTTTAGAGGCCATAAGTGGGCGTGCTATGTACGCAAACTAGTAACCTAACTAGTGCCCGATTCCGAAAATTGGAACCACGAAAAACAATAAAGAAAAAACAAAATCTGTATAATCTGTGGTTATAGGCTTGGTGCATTTCAGTTCATTTTAAAAAGTCCGATCGCAGCGCTCCAACGGCAGAAATTAGAATTGCCGGGTATAAAGTATTTGACGCAGTCCTGTTACCGTTTATGTCGATCGCATTGAAATAATATTAAAATCGTGGTTTTGTCGTAATATTTAAGTATTTGATTTTTTAATAGTGCAGTTATTGAAATTACAAAACACTCCGGTTCGAGGTTTGTGTGATGTAACGCTGTTTCGGGTAGTAAAAAATCAGTGAAAAAAAAACGAATTAGGCGTCGTGTTGTGTTGTGACAATTTCAAATGTTAATAAAATTGACGAAAAAATGTTAACGCGTAAACGAGAGCGTAATTAGGGCGTTGTTCGGCGCAATAACATTCAATAACTCAACTTTTCCCGGATATTCAATTCTCCCGAAAAATTTTATAGCTTCAGTTTCTCACACCGATTTGATCAAAAGCAAAATGGATTCAAGCAGTTCGACGAAACAAATTAGTAAGAGTAAACCTTTGAATAAGAAGACTAAGGAAGGAGCATATCAAAAATCTTAGGTACACCGCGATGGCCCTCAAATATGGCCGACTTAAATTCCGGTTTATCAGTGTCGTTCTAATTTTATTTAAAAAATATAAAACTATGATGTAGGGTAGACGTAGGGTAGACTCAATAATTTGTTGTTTTATTTTACGTTGTGAATAAATGTTGGTAGTTATTAAAATTGTTATAAAATATATAATTCTAATAAAAAATAGATAAGTTATAATAAGTATTTATTAACACAAACATCCGATACGCTACTGAAGCAGGTAAGTCAAATTAACGTATCCAAATTTTTTGACATCTAATCTTTGACAAGTAATAAATAAAAGCTAAAATGCGAGAAAAATATATAATTTAGTTAATTTAAGTGAATTTCATAAATGATCGGTTTACTACACGTATGTATATTATATAGTCACTTACTAGCGAAAAGTTGTTCCATTATTTCACTCAATTTTTGCCGAGATCTACCGCACGCTACACAACGAACTATTTTAGAGTCTTTTTCGATAAATCGCGATAGTGTCACTGTTAATTTAAGTTCTGCCACAATTTCCATCTAGATTAACTACCTTTATACAACTATCAGTAGTAGAATAAATAATAAATAACATAAAATAAGCTCCATAAAGACTGACAAATCCACAAAATTTCAAATCAAATTCAAATATGTCAAATGAATCGTCAAACAGAACTGTCAAGGATCCCCACCCTAGAGAGCTTTTATGGCGCCTTTTCCGCCCACCATCCATGAATACATGGATAGCATTATGCTCCTTCCTTAGTCTTCTTATTCAAAGGAGTAAACAAAGTGCGTATTACATAGCCAAAAAAATTTCATGAAAAAATTAAATAAGCATATACTATGAAAGGATAAAATATAATTTGCAATATTAATTGTATACTTTTTTTAATCAACTAGTGATTAAATGTTTTACGAACATCTTCTAAAATTATAATTATGTACCTTTAAAAAAATTCGTTATAGCCGAAATAGCCCCAATTATGACTCCATTAGCAAAACCGGTGCTCTCTACCGTAGTTGAACTCATCTAAAACGTTTTTTTAGTTGGTTAGGTGTCGATCCACTTACTCTGGTTACGTTATAATAAATTATAATACAGGTTAGATATTCTGGCGATATTAAAATATTTACTTTTTTATTTTTAGAATTTTCACAAAGCCATTTTTTTTACCAGTTGTTTACGATATTCTCCGATGGTGGCAGTACCGGCGGAGAATGCACCAAGCCTATAGTTAATTATTAAATATTGAATGTAATTATTCTTTAGCCTTTATATAATATTAATTTAGCCTTTATATAATATATAAGTTAATTGTTAAATGAGGTGCCCGGTGGCGTAGGGTGGCAGTCTCTCGTCTACCAATCTCAAGGTAGTGGGTTCGAATCCTACACCCGGCATTTCTTCAGCCGACTATTTTTATTAAAATAAAAATAGTTTGGGTACCTAGGTCGACTCAGCCTTAAATGAGTACTTGGGATTCACAATCTTGAGGTAATAATAGGCGGTTGAAGCGTAGTGCTAGCCATATTACCTTCCTTGTAACTGCTCTAGCATGGCTAGCTGCTTGGGCTAGCTGTACCATGGCTGTATCTTGCTACTCCCAAGGCGTTAAACGCTATATACGGGAGCTATTATAATTGTTAAATATATATTTCTCCCTAATTATGACAGTATGTCAGCTCACCTAAATTGAAATGGATACTTTTTCGGGGTTGGGATATTGAAAAACATTGCAAAACATTACTCTAAACTGCTAAGATGATTAATATTCTAAATTTTACAGTCTAAAGTAGAAATAATTGTTGATATAGTAGCTAAGGAAAAAATAATCAATAATAACAAATTATTTTATGGAATTTACAATACCGCATTTCCTAAGAGGCCTTGGGCAAGCAACAATAGGTTGCTATTAAATACATATCAGAAATATACAATAAACTCCTATGTGATTGATATAGGTAATTTGATGGATTTTGTAAGTTTAAGATATATTTTACATGTTTATTTTTCTAGATACGGGCGCTATAACCGAATTAGAATGGCCAAATGGCAGTCAGATAATTGTAGATACATACAACGATGTAGTTTTAGCTGTGAGAAGAAATTTTCTTATTCCAGATATTTTAGTTATTGGAACACTTACACCTGATAATTTAGTTGACTGGGTTGAAATAAGTCCTAAAGTTGAAGTGGATCTATTAAAGGATCTAACTTACAAATATCTAGATATAGTGGTTCCTGAAGAGAGTGTTAGTGAGTATCATAATCTTGTTGTAATCATTACTTATATCAATATTACACAATTACCATTACATTACATTTTTATATTTACGTGTATTTATTTTTTTTTAATTTTAGGTTGTAACACCTTGAATAATTTAAAATATAAGAAATTAAAACTAACTATAACTAAAAACTATAACTATATAAACTATATATTATTAACTTGTTTTAAAACCCCTAATATAAAAGCTTAATATACATATTTTTAGGTGATTTCAACGCTATATACATAGGTCCAAAAAATGGAGAAGATGCAACAGTTCCACTTGTCATAGTGCCACATGGAGGACCGAATAGTGCATTTACCAACTGCTTTATGTTCGAAGTGGCAATTTTTTTAGCTTTAGGTATGTTTTAAATAAATAATTTATACATAAATAACATTAGTCAAAAGACAGTCAAAACAAAATAAAAACTAGAGATTCTAAAAATAGGTGTTATAAATATTGCAGAATAGTTAATAAATATAATAATACTTATTTAATTAAAATCCGTTTTATTAATTATTTATACAGGGTGGCGCACCTCATTCGCCTCGGTTGATTATACGAAAACGGAAAGACTTAAAAACAAAATATTTTATGGGTATATGTGGAGAGACAATGTGCACAATTTAAAATTATTTTAAAATATACAGGATGTTTCAGAACTAAGATCCATACCAAAGTTATATTTTTTCTTATGGAACACCCTGTATTTTATTTTATTTTTGGATTCTAGGGTCCAACAAAAGGCATTTATTATAAGGGTTAAATATGGTTAAAATCTTTAGTTTTTGAGATATTTAAAGATATTTAAATTTGCATGCTACAATAGAATAGACTATTAACACCCTGTACATTACTTTTCAGAATTAATTATTATGCTGAGTTTAAAGGTAGAGAAATAAACTTTACTGAAAAATGGTATTGGTTTCTTAAATTTATACAGGGGTATTAAAAGTTGCTGATATATTTTAAGGATAGATTTTATATAAAAACTTCGGTATTTCAACTGCAACACTCTGTATTTTTCTAAATAAATCGAATAAGATTCAAATGCTCTTTCAAATTTTATTAGGGTTTCCTATACCTATCTAGCTGAGATTTTGAATAAAAAGCAATTTTTAAATAAAATTGCAATCAAGATGGCTGCTGTCGCCATGGCAATTTTCTAGTGACAGTTAATAACTATTTTCAAAGTCGACATTAATTTATGGACATTACTATTTATAATTTATAACAGTTTACTTAAATTTGCCTACAATAGTTTAATAAGTAAGAAGTATTAATTATTTTATCAAGAAAAATAAAGCAGTATCTGCTGGCGGAACGAATAGATATGTTACTAGTGATATTATTTTATGAGGAAAATTGCTTCTTGGCCTCAAGGGCTTATGCTCAAAGATATCCAAATAGGAATTTTCCTGATAAGCGTTTCTTTGAAAAACTTCTTGTCCTATTTCGCAGAGCTGGTAGTGTGGTTTATAAAAAACCTATTAGGTAGAAACCTGTCGTTGGAAGTGAAGAAAATTAATTTGCCGTAATTGGTTCTTTTATAGAAAATCCATATATCTACAAGTCATCGTAAAATAATTCAAAGAACTACTTCGTTTTTCTTGATAGAATAATAAACACATATTATGTGTTTATTATTTATTAAACTATTGTAGGTAAATTAAATAAAAGTAAACTGGTATAAATTTAAATAAGTCCATAAACTAATTTCGATTTTGAAAATAGCTACTAACTGTCACTAGAAACTTGCCATGACAACATTAGCCATCTTGATTATAATCTATTCTATTGTGGCATGCAAATTTAAATATCTTTAAATATCTCAAAAACCAAAGATTTTAAACATTATTAACCCTTATAATAAATACATTTTTTGGGCGCAAGAACCCAAAAATGAAATAAAATACCGGGTGTATAGCCGCCCATACTAAAATATGTTAATATCTCGAAAACTGCGACTTTGACTGATTTTGATGTTACAAATTTTGTTGCAAATATTATTCCTAATCTTAATTTGAAAACCGCGTTTCGCTAGCTACTGTAATTTTGGAGTTACGATTTTTTAAAACTTTTAACCCCCTCCCATACCCCCTTACCAACCCCCCACCCCCACCAAAAACTAATGGCCAGATTCTCGGGTGCCACAGTATTTTTGTGCCAAATTTGGTTAAAATCGGTTCAGCCTGCTTGATCATAAGACTTTTTGATAGTTTACAGGGTGTTTATTTATACGTACCTATACGTCCTAACGAATATTTTTTGGTATATAGGTTATGCCGTGCTACTTATTAATTATAGAGGCTCTATAGGAGCCGGTAATGATTCAATATATTATTTGGCTGGAAAAGTTGGCACGGCGGATGTCCAAGACTGCATTTTGGCTGTTGATACCGCTCTTAAAGAATTCCCATGGATAAATCCAGAACAGGTATGTACATTTTCTTTTATATGCTGATATCGACGATGTTATATATATATATATATATATATATATATATATATATGTCAAATCAACGATGTAATATCGACGATGTTATATATATGTCAAAAAAGACAGGCTTTAAAAAAATCGGAGAACATAAATTCATTTAGGATGTGATTATCTACAACTTTTATCTGAAAACTTTTTATCTAAAATATATTATAATGGAATTAGGGGCAATTTTTTAAAATAGCCGAAATTTGTTTTTTTCGAAGTAACTAGTAAGCCATGAACTTTTTCAAAAATCTGAAAGGCGCATATGACCTCACAAAATTGCAATTCTTTCCCCATTTAACCGACTCTCTATCTCCAGTACTCTCCGAGATACCCATAGAGAACATCGTAGGAAACTCACCCTGTATATAAACCTTTTCGAATTTCTTTACAAAAATATTACAATGTGATTAGTTATTATTAATCTTTTGATTGTGTGTCATTTAATACAGATAAATGTATTGGGTTTGGTTTGGTTTGGCGATAAGAAATTGATATTTTTGATTGCATTAGTTATGTACCATGCGATCGACAATAAAACGGCGTCATAGACGGCTAGGAATGACAATCGATGATAATTTTGACGAGGTCAAACCCTTGACGTCATTTAGTTGCAAAAAATATTTTTTTGGAAATAGATTTGTGTGTCTAGGAAAGTTCTATCCTTTTTTAATCTCTTCTATAATAATTAATGTTAATTTTTGACAAATTTTATGCCAGTTTTTAGTAAATGACGTCTAGAGATTGACCTAGCCAAATTTATCATCGATTGTCATACTAGCTTCTACGTCACACTAGTCAACTCGCATACCCAACAATGTTGCCGTTTGTTGTCCTTAATTTCGCAGTTCTGCACGCGCATAAAGATAATCGGTCGGGTATTTCGCGTGCAATCTAAACAAAAAAAAACCCAGATACTAACCAACGCAATGAAAACACGCCTACCTACGGCGTATTGCTATTACCGACAACTGTAAATAATTAAAAAAATTAAAACAGCTGTAAAAAAATAAAAAAGTTTGGTTTGGGTTGGGACACGATCCTGGAACCTCTCGTTCCCGACCTTACCAATGCATCCACAGCTGCTCTTGCAAAATTGGCTATAGCTAGGCGTTACTTTCCGCCGTTATTAAAACCGTTCATAAAATAAGGCGACAGCAAACGGCAACATTGTTTTATTCATTTGACGCCGTTTCTATTCGATCATACGGATGTTCAAAAGTCATTTAGAGATATTCTGAAATAATTATTGTTATAGTTGGCTTTACGTGGAGGATCATATGGAGGATTTCTAGTAACTCATTTAAGTGGCCAATATCCAGATAAATTTAAAGTGGTAGTAGCAAGAAATCCAGTGATCGACATTGCTTCGAAGAGCATCAGTTCCGATATACCCGATTTGTAAGTAAAAAAATATTTCGCGCAGAACAAAACGATTTATAAACGGGTGGCGCACCTCATTCGCCTCGCTGATTATACGAAAACGGAAAAATGTAGAAACAATATATTTTATGGGTATATGTGGGAAGGCAATACGCATAATTTAAAATTATTTTGAACTGTACAGGGTGTGTCAGAACTAAGATCCATACCAAAGTTATATTTTTTCTAATGGAACACCCGGTATTTTATTTCATTTTTGGATTCTTGGATATAAAATAAGGCATTTATTATCAGGGTTTAATATGTTTAAAAGTTTTGGTTTTTGAGATATTTAAAGATATTTAAATATGAATGCTGTAATAAAAAAGTTTGTCAACACCTTGTACATTACTTTTCGGAATTAATTCTTGTGCTGACTTTCAAGCGAGAGAAATAAACTTTACTAAAAAAATTGATTTTTGCTTCCTTAAATGTATACAGAGGTATCAAAAATTGCTTGTCTATTTTAAATATTTATTTTACATAAAAACTTCGTTATTTCAAATGCAACACTATGTATTTTTTTAAATAAGTCGAAGCAGGGTTTTCTATACCTATCTTGCTCAGATTTTGAATAAAAAGCGATTTTTCAATAAAATTTTAATCAAGACGGCTGATGTCGCCATGGCAATTTTCTAGTGACACTTAGTAGCTATTTTCAAAATAAACATTAGTTTATGAACTTTATTTAAATTTATAATGGGTTATTTTTATTTAATTTGCCTACAATAAGGTTAATAAGTATGTATTATTTTATCAAGGTGGTGCAATTCTAGCTCGCCCCCACGTGGTGCACCCTGGGTTACGCTAAAGAGCTTGTGCGACTTGGCAGCCAGACCATCATATCTGATCTCCTGGCATTTAAACACATGGAATCCAACAATCTCAATTGTCCTTCTGAGGACTGCTTGACAAGAGATCTCGGAGATATATACCGAATCTGCCAGATAAATATAGAAGGCATTAGTAGACCAAAATGCCAAACTCTCTCGAAAATTCTCAGAGAGTATAAAATTGACTTAGTGCTTGTCCAGGAATCTCATCTAGCGGATGAAGACCAAGCTCGATCCAGAGCTGTAATCCCCGGCTATGACATAATTGGCATTACTTACCATCACAGTTACGGCCTAATAACATAACATATGTTTAGAATGTTTAGGAGGAGAGTTAGTCACCGCGACCTTAAAGATCTATTGTGTGTAACATAACATATGCTCGCAACGATATTGAAAACGTAAAGTTAATATCTACTTCCAAGCAAAGATGACATCTACTCGATCGCTGTTAAAATGGGTGAAACGCATATAATAAATATATACAAACCCCCCGCAACCGCATGACCACACCATATTCTCGATACCTTCCCCTATCCAGCTATTTATGCAGGCGACTTTAACAGTGACAATACCAGCTGGAAATATAACCATAATAATCCCAACGGAGAAGCACTCGTCGAGTGGACTGTAGTGCAGAGACTCCACTTAGTATTTGATGCAAAGGACAGAGCATCTTTCAGTTCTGCTGCGTGGAATAGAGAATTCAATCCGGACTTAACATTTGTGACTTGCGATGATAAAGGGCAACCGATCAATATAGCCAGAAAGGTACTTGATGATTTCTCCAAAAGCCAGCACCGCCCCATATTGCTTGAGGTTGGCACTCAAATACCTGTTATAAGATCGCTCCCCAAACCAAGATGGAACTTCAGAAAAGCCAATTGGAGCCAGTATAAGGAGGAACTTGAGAACTGCATAGATAGAATTCCTCCCAAGTATAAGAACTATCATAGGTTTACCGGACTCAAATCAATTGCCAAAAAACATATTTCTAGGGGTTACCGAAAAGAATATATTCCAGGCTGGAGTTCACATAGCGAAGATCTGTACAAAAATTTCCTGCGCAGCAAAGACCCTGAAATTGGAGACGAACTTCTTCATTCTCTTGACGCAGCCCGCAGGACTAGTTGGATCGAAACAACTGAAAGTCTGAATTTTCAGCATTCCAGTAGAAAGGCTTGGAGTCTCCTTAAAAAGTTGGGCGCTAGTAATCCGGTGAAACGCGACGACACTGAAGTAAGCCCAAACCAGATTGCTAACAGAATAGTCTCACTATCTAGAGCTCCTAGAGACCGAGAGCACACAATGAAAATTAAAAGGGAACTACGCAATTTAAAGGCCAATAGCACCGAAGAGTGCCACCTTTCTAGGCCTTTCGATAGAGATGAGATAACGGAAGCCTTAACGAATATCAAAACGGGAAAAGCGCCAGGATTTGATGGAATTCATAACGAATTTCTCATTAATACAGGACCAAATGTAAGACAATGGTTGGCAAATTTCTTTACCGATATATTAAATAATAGTGCAGAGATCCCTCTATTGAAGAAGAAAGACATGAAGAAAGCAAAAATAATTTCTGTCTTAAAGCCTGGCAAATATAAAGATAGGCCAGAAAGTTACAGACCCATTTCCCTTCTAAGCTCTTGCTATAAACTCTTAGAAAGGCTAATTTTAGAAAGAATAGTGGTAATAGTAAACAACTGTGTGCCAGCATATCAAGCAGAATTTCGACCAAATCGAAGCTGTACAGACCAGGTAATGAGCCTTACGACACATATTGAGGCTGGTTTCCAAAGAGGACTGAAAACATCAGCAGTCTTTGTTGACCTGACTGCCGCCTATGACACAGTGTGGCGGCACGGCTTGCTGTATAAGTTTCTGCGAATAGTTCGAAATATAAAATTAGCCAAGTTACTTAACACCATGCTGTGCGACAGACTTTTCCAGGTAATAATGGGTGACAGAGCCAGCCAGTTAAAGACGTTATAAAATGGGTTACCACAAGGTTCCGTACTTGCTTCAGTGTTATTTAATTTGTATATATCGGACATGCCAGTAACGCAGTCCAAAAAATTTGCTTACGCTGATGACTTAGCTTTGGTAGTAAGTAATAAAAGCATGGAAGCTATAGAACAGACCCTAACCAACGATTTGGAGATTTTGGGTGATTTTTATCGCAAATGGAGACTAACACCAAACCCCAGCAAAACAGAAAGCACCTGCTTCCACCTAAATAATAAACTAGCTAACAGGGAGCTTACAATATCATTTAATGGTGCTATTCTTCGACATAATCCAACTCCAAAATACCTTGGGATCACACTGGATAGAACTTTGTCCTACAACAGCAAAAGTACGGACAAGAAATAATATTATTCGAAAACTATGTGGCACAACATGGGGTGCGACAGCAGAAACCCTCCGAACATCGGCTCTAGGTTTTGTCTACAGCGCTGCAGAATATGGTGCACCTATCTGGCTAAATAGTAGACATGTGCACAAACCTGATACAGAGCTTAATAACACTATGCGCACTATTTCTCGTTGTATCAAGTCTACACCAACATACTGGCTCCCAACGCTGTCCTGTATTGCACCGCCACACTTAAGAAGACAAGACGCATTACTCCAGGAATATAATAAATTGTCAGCCAACGAACTCCATCCTATACATGAGGATGTGGCTGCTGCATCTCTGTCTAGACTGAAGTCCCGCCGACCCGTAATTAAAACTGCTCGGGAATTGCAGGAAGATAATTTTGGGGTAATTCACAAATGGACCGAGATATGGTCTGAGTCCACACCACCCAACATCCATCTGAATCTTCCTGTCAACTGTAAACCTAAGGGCTTTGAGGCATCACGCCAAATATGGAAAACAGCCAACAGGATCCGTACAGGCCACGGCCGAGGTGCCGATCTCCTGCATAAATGGGGAAAGCCAATACGTTTAAAATAAAGTTTATTTGAACGTATTTGGGGGAAAGCTAGCGACTCCTCAATGTGATTGCGGATGTGCTTGTCAGACTGTGGCGCACATTGTGACCGAGTGTGAAAACCGATCTTATCCTGGGGATAAGAACGACTTTTTTACCTTACCACTTACTGCAACTCAATGGATCGAAAACCTGGATATAGCACTGTAAAGTTTTTATATTAATACCTGTTTCGTTCTGTTTTTTTATATGTTCCTTTTTTATATTTTATATATAAGTAATTGTTTTTTATATTTACCTCTGTCAATGTATATATTTTGTTTATAATTTTAAGTGTTGTACATATTTGTCTATATTCTTTTGGTTGTGTATATTTATACATATTACTTTTATTGTATCATGTGTTTGCCATACGATAAATAATTAATAAATAAATAAATTTTATCAAGAAAAACGAAGCAGTATCTGCTGGCGGAAGGAATGGATATGTTACTAGTGATTTTATTTTGTGAGCACAATTACTTGTTGGCCTGAAGGATTTATGCTCAAAGATATCCAAATAGAAAATTTCTTGATAAGAGTTTTTTTGAAATACTACTTTTCCTATTTCGCAGAGCTGTGTGGTATATGTGAAAACCCTATTAGCAGAAACCTGTAGTTGGTGAATGAAACCTGTAGAAGTGAAGAAAATGAATTTGCCTTAATTGGTTCTTTTCATCTTTTATAGAAAATCCAATATATTTACAAGTCATCGTAATATAAATCAAAGAACTAATTCTTTATTTTTCTTGATAAAATAATAAATACTTACTTATTAAACTATTACAGGTAAATTAAATAAAAGTAAACTGTTATAGATTTACATAAAGTCCGTCAAGTAATGTCGATTTTGAAAATAGCTACTAACTATCACTGGCAAATTGCCATAGCGACACCAGCCATCTTGATTGCCATTTTATTTAAAAATTGCTTTTTAATCAAAATCTTAGCCAGGTAGGTATAGGAAACCCTGATATAGTTTGAAAGAGCATTTAAATCTGCTTCGACTTATTTAAATAAATACATAGTGTTGTATTTGAAATAATGAAGTTTTTATGTAAAATAATATTTAAAATAGCCCCGCAGTTTTTGATACGCCTGTATACATTTAAGGAAGCAATAACATTTTTTACTAAAGTTTATTCTCTGGCTTCAAAGTCAGCAC